AGGATATCTAAGCCAATTACTTCTGTTACTTTCTTCTCTAACACAGAGATAAACACAGCCTAAATTCTTTCTTGGAAATGGCTACAAACTTCCAAACTACAATTTTTATTCAAAACAATTTATACATAGGAATTGTTACACCTCACTTGCCCAGCCTACAAACTAACAAGAGAAAAGACAAGTAGTTTACATGGTTTTAATAGAGATCATTTGAATTGGTTAAAATATAGCATTACAGTTACCAAATGTTTCTTCTGTTTAATAAATTGTAGAACAAGCAACTTGCAAAGATTTTAAACTTCCCTACTGACCAATTCAAGAATTGGAATCACTACCAAATATTTTAGAAATTAAACAAGCATTACAACTGAAAATCTGAATAGTTCTAGCAAAACTGTTTTTGGTACATCTTTGGTTTCTGATCTCTCCTCTTCAGAGCCAAGTTTCTTGAAAGAACACTAGTTTCTCATTACCTGTCTTACTCTTCAGCCACAAGGAATCTGATTTCTGCTGGCTGAGTTTATTCACCATGGTTTGAAACACTTTTTACCTGACATCTCTGCAGCACTGGACATTGCACCACTTCTCTCTTGGCTTCCACAACTCCCCTCTTCACTTGTTACCCTACCTTTGTTTTCCCCCTTCAGGTCTTCATAACTCTTTTTCTCTCCAACTTCTGCAATAATAGTGCTCTCCAGTGTAGTCTATTTAGCCACTTTCTCTTTTTATTTTGAGCATTCTAATACAGTCCCGTAGTTTTATGTACTATAAGAGGCTTGTTCTGGTAATAGACATTTAGAGTTCTCCCACTCAAGTCATCCCCTATACTCCTGCTAGCCTAATCTAGACTATAAATCAGGTTAGACTTCATCCCTTTTTTTGTATCTCACCAAACAGAGTCCAAAATCCTTAAAATGGCATATGTATAATGCCTAATGGTTTGACCTGTACTTCCTTTTGCCAATCTCACCATTTTCCTGTTCATCACAATTTATTAATAGTTTTGAGTCTAAGTTTTTCTGTTCTTCAAACTGACCCCAATTCAAGTGTCACCTCTTATGTGAAGCCAGAGAATTATTTGCTCCTCCACTACACTATTACATATTGTTTGCACATAAATCCTGTAATTATCTGCATTTACATTTCACTTTTCAATGGAGCTATCTAAAGGCAAGAACCCAGAATTTTTTTTAAAAAATAACATAACCTTGGAAGCATTTGTAGAGACAAGATTCAATTTACTTAAAAAATTACTAAAGGACAGAAAAATGAGAAAAAGTAATTAAGTTCTAACTTTGACTAATCTTCAAGGCTAAATGAAATCTACTTCTGTTTATACAGAATAGCTAGAAACAAAACACTTAAAGGATTTAATTTTAAACTAGTCAGAATGCAATTTCTAACTGAAACCTGGTTTAAAAAAAGAACTTCCTGTCAATCTTTACAACTGCGGGTGAGAACAGAATGATTTTTTACTGATGAAAGACAATTGCCTAATATTTTAGCTCTCATCAGAACTGAAAGTTTATAGTAGTAGTCATCCAAAGGAGACAAATACTAAGATTGACTGACAAAGTGTGTATCACTAAGAAAAATTAAAAATGAATGAGAATGGCCCGACCAGGTTGCTCAGTGGGTTAAAGCATTGTCTCAATGCACCAAGGTTATAGGTTTGAGCCCCGCCAGAGCATATACAAGCAACCAATGAATGCATTAATAAATGGAATAACAAATCGATTTCTTTCTCTCTTTCTCTAAAATCAATAAAAAAAAACTTTCACAATAAAGCTTTTAAAAATGGATGTAAGTACTGCAATACAATTTGATTTGTTTTATTTCTTTTCAACTACAGCTAGCATACCTAAATCATTACAGAGGAAGCTAAAAAAAAAAAAAAAAAAACCCCACCAACCACCTGTATTCATGCTATTTCACTTCTGGATTATGGAAATGAGCCACAAAAAAAACCCTTATTCTTCCTTAATACAATATTTGTAAGATTAAGATATCATTATTATAATCAACAATGGAAATATGAATTAAGCTGAGTACAATCTTGGTCTTAAAAGACTTTGTATTAATAAAATTTCATATTACAAATTTTGTTTGCTCACGTTATACAAAGTGGCTGGAAACTATGCTTTCCTTTACAAATTCTTATCAAGAATACCTACTCTATGAGGCATTAACAATACTTCATGAAAAAAGCAATGAGCAGAGGATCAAAACAAGCAGCCTTTTCTCAAATGCAGCATCTGTGAAAAGAAAAACAGCAACACAGCTCATTTCTGATTAAGTTACTACAAAAATCAGACTGGATATCTTCCTGTACTTTTTCTTCACACCATCGTGTGCCTGTTTACTAATAAAATGTATGAACTTAATGATTAATAAAGGTCTATGGCAGAGGCCAAATTGGTATTGAATGGACAGAAGGAAAGCAAAGGAAGGAGGTAGACAAACCCACTCATCAACCACTTCACTCATACAGAATAATTTAAGAAAAAATTTTGAGCTCCCATAATACTTTACATACTTCAATTTAAGCTTTTTACATTAAATTATTCATTTGTTTGTCTCTCCAACACCAATTACAAGTTTCATCTTTTCTATTCTTAAAAAATGTACATGTGCTTAAATACCTTCCTGTTTTTTAGATTCAGAATTGACAATGAACAAATCCTTGGTAAAAAAATACCTTGGGAAGAGATTTTCTAACTTTATTAAAAGAACATCCTCTGTCACTTAAATACCTGCATTTTCTCTAAAACAATCCTGGAATGCTCCTAACCCAATTTTTGGTTGCAGAAATGAGTTTTTACAAAGCAACAGCACCGGAAGCTGCTACTTCTTACCTAAACCTAACATTTCTCACCCCCTTTATAACTTGACATCTGAAAAATACCATATGGCTCTAAGCATTCTATAAAAATAATGTTGAGTGTCCTCCAAATATCATTACAACATATAAGTTTCATGCATAATAAATATATTAAAAGATCATTATACCATGGAAATTACAAGTAGTAATAAAAGTGCTTAGTAAACTACTTTTATGTAGTTATCATAGATCAAGTCAAGACACAGTTCTGCTAACCCAAGTCAAAATAACAAAACTTCAGGTAATTCAATTCTTGGTATACATTTTAAATAAACTCAGGAATATTAAAGATAACTAAGAATAAGTTTAGAAGGAACAAAAATCAGGGATTTTTTTCGTATTTTCCTTCTCAACCCCACAAGCTCCACCCTCCCATACACCTCCGTGGCTTTCAATATTCAGTTAAAATGCTGTTAAGTTTATCCTTTACTCTCTGACCCACATGTGTCAGCACCAAGAGTTATGAAATGCCCAAAAAGTGAATGTAAGAAACAGAGAAGTTAAGGAAGGAAAGTTTCCTTAGAAAATATCTGAATTTAAAACCTATGAATTAACAGAGCTGGTGAAGATAACACACGGTCTTCCCCTCCACACACACTTTAAAAAGCACTGGTATGTAATAAATAAAGGGTAAAAATAAAATCACAAATAAAAACGGTAGCATTGTGATTAATGAAACTTCGTGATTTACAATGTCAAAGTGTATTATGTTAAAAGGACAGTTTTGCCCAAATACTTTATGACCATGTTTTCTCTAATAGTCCAAGTTAACCTCACATACAAAGCTTCTGTACCAGCAAAAACAAATGCTAATAAAATTTGGGCTTCTGGTATACTATTAGGAATCTGATTTTAAACTCTTTAAGATTCATTAGCGTAGTCCCAAACAATGATAGGGTAACGTTAAAAAGCAGTGCACCCAATAAAGCAATTTTTAAATACACTACAGCGTGACACATGGGAATTACCGAAGAACAACTTACTTTAAGTATACTGACACAGTAACAAATAAGCGGCTCTGGTGGTTCGGGAAAGTTACTCATCTCACAGACTTAGTAATGACGTTAAAGGGAACTTGACTGACACACCCAGGGCCGACCGCCACGTTAAGGATACAACTCTTCCGAGGTGGAGAGGGCTCACGCCAGCTCTGACTGTTGTTGAATCCGGATCCCGCTCCTCCTCCCAGAGGTGGTCTGCCCCCCGGCTTGCCTCCTCGCTCACCCCCTCCACGCCCCCGACTCCAGCGACTCCCACCCCGATATGGCCTGCCTCGAAAGCGGAAACGGTCCAAGGCGAGGTGGCTCCGTTCCCAGAAGGACGGCCGGGGGCTGCTTTCGGACAGTGAACTCGAAGGCATCCGCACGGAGGGCTGGTGAGACCGGAACGGCTCTTTGGGTCGGTAGCTGCTATGTCCCCTGAGGTGGCCCCGCTCCGACGCGTGCCGCGAGCGTGAGAAATTCCTCAGCTGCTGCTGAGAAGAGGACGACGACGACGAGGAGCCACCGCCTCCGCCGGATCCACCGCCCCGGGCCGGGTGAGGAGGCCTTCGCCGCGGATATGGTAACAGCCCGCAGCCACTGCTGCTGCTGCTGCTCCGGCTCCGTATCTGGCTGTTGTTATCGTCATCGCTGATCTCCCCATCTTCCAGCTCTCCTTCTTCCTTAGGCGAGAAACCACTGGAGGCCGGGGCCGGAGGATCTGCGGTCGCCATCCCGGGACCAGCGCCTTCCACACAACCTTAGCCCTCCGTCCGGGGAAGCGCCCGACAATTGCCTTCCTCCTCGGTTCCTTTCTTTTCTAACAGACCCGGTAGGTGCGGCGTTACCCTACTCGGACACCTAGCGGGCTCTGCTCCTCAACTTCCCGGCACCCCAGCTCTTCCTCGCCGGACCGTCGCAACCCAGTTCCCTACCCTAGCGCCCCCTTGCTCCAACGCTAACGGGGCTCTTCCGCCTCGCGAGAAATGGACTCTGGAAGTGGCTTTGCCCGTGACGTCACTTCCTGCGACACGCAGGAAACAAGACTCTCAGTTACCGCGATAATTACAAAGACAACGTGATTCTCAGTGATGCTTGTAGGGTTTTTTTCCTCTCGTCGGGTTTGTCCTTCAAGTCTACAACTCACGCCTCCTGAGACTAGGGATTGGAATATCTGGGTGCGTGGTGGGGTGGGAGGGCCTTTTCTTAATCTCCACCTCGAGAGAGTATCTTAATAATGGGGAGTCGGAGAGGGAGTGATACCTCTTCTTTTCTAATTGCTCCGAGGATGGCTGCTAAAGAGACGGAGTAGTCCCACTCCCTTTTAGAGGCCAGGAAGGGATCGGGTTGGCCCGCCATGTTGGTGAAGGCAAAGGAAGGCTAGTGGAGCTCTAGGACTGACGGATCTGCTGGTTTAGGTCGGCCATATTAATAAAAAGAAAGGGAAGGTTAACCCCTGTCCTCCAACAGACACATATACCCCTTCTTTCTACCCCGTTCCCAAGACTCAGCTCGTTGGGCCTTTCCCCTGCCTCCCTTGCCCAGTTTGCCCGAAGGAAGTATAGCAGAGAGCGCCTCAGAACAGGCTTAGGACACCGCCGAATGTGGGGGAAAGTGAAATGCCGACCAATTGCGCCGCCGCGGGCTGTGCTACTACCTACAACAAGCATATTAACATCAGCTTCCACAGGTAACCTGGGCAGGGAGTGGGGGATGAGACGGAAACGCGAGCTGCTAGATTGAGTATTGCTTGTATAGAGGGAACAGTAGAATTCTGCTAATACTAACTACCTACGTGGTAGTAGCGAAGCATTCTATTTTCTCTTTATGTGTTTCTCAAATCTAATTTTTCTCTCCCTTCGGGGAAGATTTACTCACTTTGTAAAATCAAATTCTGTACGGTGATTGTACCTTTTAAAAGTAACAGGAGGATACCTTAATTTTCTGTTCTTTTACTCCTATGTATTAGACTGGTCTTGACATTAAAGAAGCCATAAGAAGTCTTCTTTGAACGTCGGCGGTCACTTTAAAAGACTACTGTGTTACCGTAAAGTCAGGAAAATTATTATTTCTAGCTAAATTGACAAGAAACTCTGCGGAGGGATTTACTCATCGTTGATGATAATCATAGAATTGAGCAATGTTAGTGAAAATGCAAAAGATAAGCTTTCTATTCTTACTAGAATAGTACTAAGAAGAATCTTGTTGCTTCCCCCCCCCTTTTTTTGCTAGAAGAGCAATAAAAATTATTTAGTTCTCTTAAATCAGAACTATGGAAAGCACTTTTAACACTACATAAAATACACTAAGTAAATGTTTACCTTCCTTGCAAGTGCTTGCAATGTGGCTGACGAAAAGAAGCATTAAAAAAGATAAAGTGCAAACAATTTTGATTTTATATACCTCACAACTTAATACAATCTTAAAATGTAGAAAATTATATCCTTGTCCTTTCTCTTACCTCATAATAACTAAATGTACCCCTTATTAAAGGTTGACACTTTAAAAAAAAATCTTTGTGATGTTTCTGTTTCCAACTACTTCATGCAAATGTAGTGGTTTATTCATTTATCCATCAAATGTGTACCAAGTTCTTACTTGCCTGACATCATGCTAGGGATCCAGAAAATTCTTATATTCCTGGAGTTTAGAGTGTAATGAGAAAGAAAGACAAACATAAATACAGTTAAGTGCCACAGAAAAGACATTCAGGGAGACCTGACTCAGCCTTGTAAAGTCAAAGAGCACTTCTCGAAGGATGCAGAATTTCAGACGAGACCAAATAATGGCGTAGATTTGGCCCTCTTTGCACCATAAGGATTTTGTTTTATCCAGTTAGTACTTAAGAAGTCAAGGAGATTTTAAAAGAATGTCATTATTAAATGTGCATGTTAAAAAGGTCCTCTGGCTGAAGTGTGGAGAATAGTGTTACTGAAAATGCTGGTGAAGCATCATCAAAAGATGAATTTGATGAGAACGAAGCTTATTAAAGAATGTTCATTTGCCTGCTATCTCTTTCACAGGGAAATTCTGCTACAGTGTCAACTGAACTACACAATGTTCTATGCTGGCACAACCAGCACTAGAGCAGAAGAGGTGAGAGTTGATAGAGTAAAAACAGGAGCCTGTCATAAAAAAGGGAGAGTCGACCCAGTGGCCTAGACTAGAGTGGTACTAACAGTAGGGATGGAAAGAAGTGGACAGGTCTGAGAAATGCTTGAGGAGAAACTACTGTGTTTGATCATTTGATTTGGAAGATGAGGGAAAGGGAAGAGCCAAGACACCAGTAATGTTTAAGTCACCTGTTTAAAAGATGGACAGTGGTGCGGTAGCATGCATACTTCCTTTCCATATTTGAACATGTGCCACCAATGGAATTAACATTTTCATGTGTAATGCAAAAACTTAGGTTATAAAGCAACATTATTTATAACAAAAATACCTTTATATTTTATAAATACAAAAATATTAACTAACTTTTCCTAAGACAATAGATTTCTGTATTCTCATGTACAACTTATGTAGCCTAAAGTATCTCTATTTTTCTTTCTTTTTTTATATATTTTTAAAGATTTTTATTTATTTATTTTTAGAGAGAAGGGAAGAGAAGGAGTGAACATCGATGTGCAAGAGATACATCTTTCAGTCGCCTCTCACATGCCCCCATATGGGGACCTGGCCCACACACCCAGCATGTGCCCTGACTAGGAATCGAACCAGCAAGCTTTTGGTTCTCAGGCTGGCACTCAGTCTACTGAGCCACACTAGCCAGGGCTCCATTTTTCTTATCTCTTACTCAACCCAATCCAGACTAGTTCTTGCCAATAATCTTCTGAAACTGCTCTTGCTAACATGAGCTGTCACTCCTACATTCCTTTTTCATGGCATGTGATCACTTTCCTCAAAATACTCTACTTTTCAATTGACACTAATTTTGTGATTTTCACTTACTATTGTGGCCTCTACCAGCCCCTCTCTTCTACACCTGATCTAGGTCTTCCCTCTCTTATTAAAAAAGATTTCAAACTGTACCTTAGTCTCAGGTAACATTTACTTGTTGATGCCTCCTGAATCAGTGATGAGTTCATATCTCTCATGAGTTTCAGACCTACAGACCAAGTGTCTGTTTCCCTGGTCCTTCTTCAGTTCCTTTTTCAGTAAGTGAAAACATCTACCCAGAAACTGGGAGGTAATCCTTCCTTGACTTTTCACCATTCCCTCTTGATTGGATTATAACAAGGGCCTCTTAACAGGTTCACTGCTTCCATTCTTGTATTTCTAACCTCTCTTCAGTAATCAGTGATACGTTGCTAAATGTTTAACAACTCCAGGGAGGGGAGAACAACCTGATTCATAATATTTGCCCAAATTCTATGATATAAATAGTCCTACCCTGGCTGGCTTCAAGCTACGGACATGACATCACTGATGATAAAGTTGGCAGGAAGTGTGTGGTACCACACTATTCTATATTACATCCTATAGCTATAACAGGTATGAATAGTTTTAGAAATATAAATAATAATAAATTAGGAAAGGCAACTTTGTGCTAGGTACAAAGGTAATATGTATTACCTTTGTTTTTAATTTATTGCAAGTTTACATAATTTTTAATAATGGTTATGTTTAACAGCCGGTTAAAACATTTTCTGTTCACAATGTGCTTTCTAAATTAGGCCTTTTAATGGCTTAACAATTCCATTTTGGGAAAAGTTCAAAATTCTTAGAATGCTCTCTGGCATCATTTTATGTCATAACGCTCTTCACTATTCCCACCCTAAATCTGCTAGCTAATTCCTTCTATCAGAGCCTCTGACTAGATCAGCACTTCAAGTTTTGTGGTTTTTATTTGACCTTGTGTTTTACCTTTTATAACATTCATGACACTTGTAAATATTCTTATAATAACAAATAGTATTTATTTAGTATTCACCATATTATTGTGCACTGGGCTAAGCATTTAGTTTCATTGTCTCATTCAACTCCTGGAACCACACTAGATAGCGTTATAGATGGTACGATTATACAGTAGATGATAAAATTAAGGCCTAAAACCATACCATAACTTGCCCAAAGTTACCTAGTTATGATGTAAAGGAACCAGGGTTGACACTGGTTGGACTCCAGAGAAAGTGTTCTCAGTCACTCTTCTGCTGCATTAAGCTGTTCGATTCTCTGTCTTCCCCATTACAGAATACCCTTAATAAGATGGTAAATACCATAAAAGTAGGTCAGTTTTGTTTACCACTAGGTGTTCAGTGCTTGGGACAAGTGCCTAGGACAATGCTTGGAATATAAGAGGCATTCAGCCATTTATTAAAGACCCAAGGGAAATAGCATTGTTTAAAATACTGAGTTTTTTCCCCCAAACATTTAATGTTTCTGGAAGCCTGGTTCTATTATGATGTAGACAAAACTTACTACTACATTATTTTTAAAATATTTAAATATTACTTAAATTGAACTATGGGCTCTATCAGCCTTTGAATATATTAAGGAAAAAAAAAAGCATGATTGTTTGATGCTGTTTAAAAGCATTATCCAAAATCAAATATAAAATTGTTGATTATTCTTATTCTCATATTTAAAAACCCAGATAACTAAAGATTATTTAGTAATTCTAAGCTAACCCCATTAGTTTATTTATTCATTGATTCACCCATAAAAGTTCCTTGATAGGATAAAGTAGTGAAAAAAGTTCCTAACCAAGAGAAACTTAAGATCCAGTGGTGGAGATAGAAAGGCAAGCAATTAAACTACAGTGATGTTAATTCCAAATCACATAGGAACATCCAACCTAGTTTTCTGATCATGAAAAATTTCTTTAGGAAGATGGGATTCCTAAATTAAGTCTTAAAAGAAGGAAATAAAATTTGTTCAAGTGAAGGTTCAAGATGAGGCACTGGTTTCATAATTAGGGAAGTAGTTTAAACAGCCAAGAAAAGGTTAAATATCTGAAAGGTGGTCATTTCTAAGAATCTTTTACAAATGATAATCCAATGATAGTACTTATTCTGAGTCTTTATTAAAGCCTCAAAAAGATGAAATTCATAAGAACCCGTTAAGATTTATAAACAAAAGCTTGATTTTTTTAGCTTAGGGCACAGGAAATATTTCCAAACCATTAAATATTGGACATGTATTCTCATTTCAGACATTCCCTTTGAAATGAGAATATGTTTTACTGAAAGGTGAGGGGTAAGAATAGATAAATTCTTGATCGGAGGTTTCAAATGAAATAGAAAACCTGAAATGTTTACACATATGAATACATGAACTGTAGAGTGTTCTACAGATGTTAATGTCTTCAGATGAGGGTATGTTTGGGGTTGAGGGGCTAGGGACAGGAGACTGGAGAATATTAACCAGTAAATCCAGGCTTTCATCTCTTTGCACCTCACTGCTGGTAATTTGAGCAAACCAGATATCTGATAAAGCCAAAGTGAAGCTTCATTTGGGGCTTCTGAGCCACATGATCTTCTAACATGAATCGTTCTTTTTTAACACTACCCAGTTCATAATTAATATGTAAAGGTAAGGTAGTCAAACTAAAGAAAAGTTGAACTCAAAAGTTGTTAGATGCGAACGTTGATTCCTATGTTTTCAAGGTAGTCAACACAGAAACCACAAAATTTTTTTGATAGTGCCTTACATTTGTCCCTTTCCTAATGGGGTACATATTAGCATATTTTATATTTAAAATAAATATGAAAGAACACTCCTGCTGGGCCTAGCAGCAGCATTTTACTTTTTATAATTGGTTTCTACTATACTACATAGCCTAAGAGGTCATTTTTTTAAAAAATCTATGCTGCTTAACTACATGAATGCAATACAGTGAGTTATATATTATCTCATTTTAAGTAAGCAAATATTTGTTGATTCCTTACTATTTGCCAGGACAGTTCGGTTAAAAGTAGATTAATAGATACAGATTCCTGTCCTCAAGAAACTTATAATCTATTTTTATTTCACTGGAAATTCATTAAAATGGAAAAATTACAAAACAGTGTGGTTGGTGTCATAATGAAGGAACATGGAGGTAGGAACACCGGAAACTATTTAGGCTTTCCTTGATAAAATTTAATCTGTAGGTAAACTGATTTGTCTTAACCATGTGTATCAGCAGCAGATCTATGCATTGTGAAGCTGTTCCTGCTTATAAGGTTTTACATAAGCTTTTTTAAATTTGATTTTAGAGAGCGAGAAACATCCATTTGTTATTCCACTTATTTATGCATTCATTGGTTGATTCTTGTATGTGCCCTGACTCGGGATCAAACCCACAACTTCAGCATATCGGGATGACATTCTAACCAACTGAGTCACCTAGCCCTGGCCTACATCAGTTTAGTCTTGTGAATTTTTACTGCCCATGTTAAGGACTAGAGTAGAAACGAAAGATCATTTTTCAAAGCCCTGAAAAATCAAACCACTTAAGTCATTTTTTTTTTTTTACAATTTATACAAATTAGCATGAATTGGTTCCAGAATTCAGAATATTGGGAATTTAAATTCGTGTGTAAATTGTAGACACTTTAAGTCATCACACTTAAAGTTTTTAACCATTTATGTGCAAACAGAAGTGTCAATAGTTGGAATTTGAGTTGCCTTTTTTTTCTTTTTTTTTTTTTAAGGTTTCCTTTGGATCCTAAAAGAAGAAAAGAATGGGTTCGCCTAACCAGGCGCAAAAATTTTGTGCCAGGAAAACACACTTTTCTTTGTTCAAAGCACTTTGAAGCCTCTTGTTTTGACCTAACAGGACAAACTCGACGACTTAAAATGGATGCTGTTCCAACCATTTTTGATTTTTGTACCCATATAAAGTCTATGGTAGGTAATACTACTATTTTTTTTTTACCCCATTTTTAGAAGCTGTTCCTTTTTATTTATAAAATGGAACAATTCAGAATATATTGAAATTCATATATGATCATAGACCTCAAAAGAGTTGCAGAATTTCCTATTGTACAGTAAAGGTGCAGGCTAGAATTAGAGCTCAAGTCTCTTGACTCCAGTATTCTTTCTCTGGTCCAAATTGTTTTTCCTAAACTGGAATTTTACAGTGCTACCAATTAATAATTCATAATAACTGAGCCATTTGTAAACCTGACAAATGAGTAATGAAACATCTAGCAGCACTCTGCTCTGATTTTAAGGTGACATACAAAACATGTGCTAAGTTCTTTAAGAACTCTATACCCAAAGAATACCAGAGTTATACTAAAGAATATAAGTTCTAAGAGAAGGCATAACAGTAAACTTCATAGAGCTTGGGTGTTTTGGGTGGGCTCATACTGGATTTCTGAAATTAGCAGAGGGTCCTTGGCCTAACACAGAACCAAAAGCTGATGAGTTGAGGGGTGAGTGGGAAATAATGAAATGTTACCAAGTGATAGATCACAGGAAGAAAAGAATTAAGGTACAGAAGAATGCAGTAAAACAATATTTTATGTAGTTAAGGTAGATCTGATCAGAGAGGAAAAAGCTGACTGAGAAAGACAGGATCACTGAAAAAAGGGTAGAATGAACAAAAATAGAGAGTTTAACTTTGAAAAGGAGGACAGGCTGCTTTTTCTCAGAAAGAGGAAAAATTGCTTATTTGTGACAATTTGTAAGTGTACATGAATTAATATCTGAGCAGAAGAGGAGATTTTGGTAAAGTAGTTATCACAGATATTAGAAAGCTCCAGAAAAGCAAAAACTTTCTCACTTCTGAATCCTCAGCAACTCAAATAGTGCCAGGTATATAGTACACACTCAAATATTAATTGAATTTGAAGTATTCCTTACTTTTAACATTTTGATCACTTATTCATTCCGCAAGTATTAACTGAACTTTACATTATGTCAGAATCTAAGTCAGGTGGTGAGGATATAAAGATCAAAAAAATAGTCCTTACCAATTCCCCTAGACAGAGGGAATACCAATTACAGGTTTTATGAGGACAGAAACCGTATTTGTTTAACTTGTTCACCATTGTGTCCCAAAGTATTCATAAATAAATTCCTGTGTGTTTCAGTAATGTTTGTTGAATGAACAAAAGACATGAAATTAGGAGGTTATGAACAATCTGGGAATTAGGAGGTTATGAACAATCTGGGAAGTGGTTTAGTATTGCTAGAGTATAAATCAAGATCATGAATGGCAGAATAGGTTGAAATCCTAAATGGTATAATATGCCATGTAAAGATTTTTTTTTTCTTTAGATAATGGGGAGGCAAAGAGGAATTCAGCCAGTGTAGAAACATCAAATCTGGCAGAAAAATTATTCTGGTGGCAGAATATGGATTAATGAGGATCAAAATGAGGTAGAAATCAATAAAGAAGTTTGTAGCATTTAAGCTAGATATGTTATAGGCCTGATGTGGGCAGTAAGTAGCATTAAGAATGCTAGAGAGAAGATGATTCATGATAGAGATATTTAGGATGTAGAGTTAATAGGACTTGATGACTAACTGAATGAAAGTAATAAAAAAGACAGTTCTCAAGTTTCTCATTTGGGCAAAAATTTCTGCCCACATTTTATATCCCTGAATAGAAGCTGTAACTGAACAGTTAATAAGGAAATCTATTCAGGAGCTTGATACTTGGAAATATATTTTTATTAAGTAGGCCTCTGGGTCTGACCAATCAATTGAGAAAATAGTATTTACCTAAAAAAGATTAAATTAGTGTCATAGAGAAGCCAAATGTCTAAATACATGATATTGGCCTTAGAAAATTGCAAAGGATATTTAAAGTCTCCATAGAATCATAGTATTTTGGAAGAGACCTTGGAAATCCACTGTCTATTTCCAAACCAATTTTTGTGTATCTGTAGAGGAAAAACAAAAAGAAATAGGTGGATGGAGTTGATTCAGCCAGTTGAGAAACCTGAATCCATGGTTACATAGATGTTTTCTATCTTTTAAAATCAGTTTTTATTTTTTTTAATTTGTTATATTTTCTTGTTTATGCTATTACAGCTGTCACTGTTTTTCCCCTTCGTTCCCCTCCACCCAGCCCCTGCCCACACCACTGTCCATGTCCATGGGTCATGCATACGTGTTCTTTAGCTAATCCCTTCACCTTTTTAAAAGAGCAGTTTATACACTGTTATACAAGCCTGGACAAAATTTACTTACTGTGATGTTCCATAATTTATGTTCAACCCTTTCATTTTATTTGGCCTAGAAACTCAAGTCACGGAATCTTTTGAAGAAAAACAACAGCTGTATTCCAACCGGACCATCTAATTTAAAATCAAACATTAGTAGTCAACAAGTGCTGCTTGAACACAGTTATGCCTTTAGGAATCCTATGGAGGCAAAAAAAAGGATAATTAAACTGGAAAAAGAAATAGCAAATTTAAGAAGGAAAATGAAAACTTGCCTACAAAAAGAACGTAGAGCAACTCGAAGATGGATCAAAGCCACATGCTTGGTGAAGAATCTAGAAGCAAATAACATATTGCCTAAGGGCACATCCGAACACATTTTGCCAACTGCCTTAAGCAGTCTTCCTTTGGAGGATTTCAAGATTCTTGAACAAGAACAAGATAAAACGGTAACAACTCTCTAAATCTAAAACAGATCAAGAGTACTTTCGGTTAAGATTAGCTGGCATAGATCTTGATGACCATCCTTTATCCTATTCAAAGGTAAAGATATTTAAGGAAATTATGCCAAAATTGGGTATTTAATAAAGTTTTACTTGAAGTAGCATTATTACTGTATAACTTACGAAGACTTGATTATAAAAAGAAGGAAAAACATGAAACATTTGAAAAAGCATGGAAGTGCCTTACATGAAATACATATACTTAAAAATTTTGCTAGAGATTTTTCAAGGTGTGCTGTGTTTTTGTCCTCTTAAACAACTTTTAAAGAACAGTCTATGACAAGTAATGTGTTTTACTTACATTAGAAAAAAAATGTTTCTGTGTACCAAAGTTGGAATATTACATTATAAATAAGACGCTAAGTAGGAGTTAACCAACATTAAATATGACTTTAAAACTGCTGGGTTTTGTATTAATTAAATTATTATTGGCATTATGATTTGGAAACTTTATAGGAAAAGAAAAGCCTGAGATACAGGGCAAGTTCTTTTATTTCAACTTTCTGTATTTTTTTAATGGTGACAGTGAGCTAATCATGACCTCCCTTTTTAAGAGTATTATCTTTTAAAATGGATTGGAAAATATTTTGAAAATATTTTTGAATAGGAAGTACCCTTGAGTCAGCCAAGGTAGTAAAAACTGGTAACTTATTATATTCACCTTCTAAGAAAATATGTTGTGAAATTAATGCAGAGGTTGGGATCTAGTTTTTACCTTAATTAAACAAAAAGATAACTGTATACTATTTTACTCACAATAAAAACAATACATTCTTAATTTCAAAATTGTTACATTAATAAGCAAATGTTCTAAGTTCCATGTTAGGAAGTTCCCTCTGCCTTCACGTATGTTGATACTAAACTTTTAAGCTTTTTTTCCCCATAAACCTACAGTAGAATTTAATTATACAACAGTACTTAACCATGTTACAGCTTTACAACTTACAACTTAAAATGGGATCAATTTATCTTACACATCAGCTTGCTTTTTTATCTCCTTTCTTAGTAAGAGCCAAATAGAATGACTGTACTGCATGAGGGAAATAAAATATAGTTCTCTACAAAAATGTGTGTCTGTGAATAAAGCTATGCAAGTGCTAATTATTTTACAAAATAGAATGTCAGAACTATTCTTAATAGCTGCCACTTGAACAATTAAAGAGTTTGCCTTACTTCACCAGATAAATGTTTAATAAGAACATTTTCATTCATATAGCTTTGATCAAGTCATGGAAAATTTATTAATGTATAATGTTATTCAATCCTGATTCAAGCGTTCTGACATCACCATATGAAAGTAACATACACCTAATCATGAATTGTTATAAATCTTTCCTATAAGGTAAATGCTACTTGATGATTTAAAAAAAATTTTTTTTTGCCAACTGTTTAGATTGCTGTTTTGCTTGGATCCTAGCAACAGTTTTTTTTTTACATTAATAGCACCTCTTTTAATAAGAAATGCCCCCAAGCAACTAGATTTCACAAAGGCAAAAGTAGGAAAATTATGCTTTAACTATCATAAGGCACTTACAACAAATATTTATGAAAATCCTTTTTTGTATACAGGGTGCGGCAAAAGTAGGTTCACAGTTGTGAATACGTGAAACAGTTTATTCTTGTATTATTTATTATTGTATTATTTTTCCATATGAAAAGTAAATTTACTTTTGCCCCACCCTGTGGTGTAAACCTTGTTACTCATTTTATCTTAAATATTACATGTAAGCTCCTTGGAAATGTCATTGCATTTTTTTTTCTAATATAGTTTCAAATGTCTTTTTATCAACACATAGCCTTAATCATCAGCAAACACTGACCATATCTACTTTATATCAATGAGTTAGGCAAATAATCATTTAAACATAAACTATGTTTTCCAAATACAAACTCTCAGAGTGGTTCACCACTCCTCTCCAATACAGAACAAAACACCAATTAACATAGGCTGATTCCCATCTACAATGTCTTGGTATCTTAATATGACATTTTAAAAATCACAAAAATTTTGATTTTTTGAACATTATGAAAACAAGCTTTTGGCAGTTACTTAATCTTCATTCTTATTTGAGACCACTGAATAAACTAGTACTCAGTAAACCTACGTAATTTTTAACTAAAAATTTTTGTTTTTATTCCCTGTCATTTTCATGTTACTCTCCTGATAACATGCTCCAAACTCTCCCTGCATCAAATTCTTTCATTAACAAACACCTGTCTACCTTAAAACTAGTCTCATTCATAGAAAATAGGAATTTTAAAATTCTGTTTTTAGTTTGTTGATAAACTTCTTACCACTTTGACCATACACTATAAAACTAATCAAAATTAGATTAGTTCTTTGTCTTCTTCTGGACACTATACACATCCTCTGTTCATTCATTATATGTCTTCTGGGCACTGGCCTCTACAAAGAACCAGCCAAAGCCTAGTTACTTGATAAAAAGATGATTCTGACTCGATTTTCTACCTTTAAGTTATTCAAAGTCTCAAGGGAAAAAAACATTTTTCATACAATATGGTAAATGCTATAAAAGACATGTGAAGTACTTTGGTAAATGGTTTTGAATTGGAATTCAGTGAGCACGTAAACTTCAGACCTTTTTATAATGAAATACTTTTGTTTTGAAATAAACAGATTTCTTATGACAACCAAAGGAAGTAAAAGGACACTGATAGTGACCTGGATTACATAGTGTTTTTTTTTATGAGTTGTTAGACATTTTTCCTCTTTAAAATGAACACTGAACAAATTTCTTGTTAATAGTATCTTTGTTAACAGAAAAATATAACTAAATAGAGTAGTACATTAAAACCAAGTACTGGAGTTTATTTGACATTTGATATTTTTACAGAATAACAAACCCTACTAACTTGGATCTTTAAAAATATTTTTAGCCCAGAGTCTTGAAGTTAACAAAGCACTATGGCAGTCATTAGTTTTCATACTTGTTCTTTACAAATACTATGTGTGGTAAGTGGCATCTCCAATTTACAGCTGAAGAAATCTGTGTTGATGCAATTTATTCATTCAGATGTTTACTGTGTGCACACTGACACAAGGGATAGAATGCTAGTTTGTCCAGGAAGTCCTAGATGGAACATCGGTCTTCAGCCTCTGAATCTATTCTGCCCACCACATTATAACCCTCTGTTAAATATATAAATCATGTTACTAAAATAGGACAAGTCATGTGTCCCAAAAAACTAAAATAAAAAATTATATATATATATATAGTAAAGATAGTCTATAAAGTCACTGTTAATCTTTTCTAGGTAGACTTTATAACATTGGTGTTTTATCTCATTTCTCAATGTTAGAATACGGGTAAATTTTAATTTGGGTATAATACATAGAAAATGGTTCAACTTTATGCCAGAATATGGGATTCTTTTGGTATTTAGAAAGTTGGAAACTTTCTAAAATTAATGGTTTTATAATACTGTATTCACAAAAAATGTATTGAGTCTGTTGATATTAAAAACCTTTCCAAGGACATTACTATCATGCCTATTATTTTCAAAAAAAATGTACATGAACATTTCTATGGAAGTCCTCCTCCTAACTTAACCCCTTGAGATACTTATATAGAAGTTCCCCCTAAATTGAAGCAAGCTGTTCATAAAATAAAGATACATAAAGCCTGAAAGAATTATCATTTTTGTTGCTCAGCTTGTATTTAAATATCCATTATAGTTTATTTGCACTGTTTTAAATACTGGTTATGTAATCTAAACCAGATATATGAAGAGCTGTAAAAATTCTGCCTTCCTGACAATACTTTGAGGTTAATGAAAGGATTTATTTGTAGATATGATTATCAAAGCATTATTTTAATTAAAAGTGATTTTTTAAATTTTTTCTGATTATTATTGTTTAATACTTTAATTCAAAACACACCATTTTAACATTCACTAAGAGACACTGAGCAAACCAGGATGAATCAGACAGGATCCTGTCCTCAAGGCCACTAGAAAAAAAAGACTTTATTCCTGCCCTTCCAGTTCCACACTCTTTTCCTTATGCCCTTTTAGAAGAGTTGACTCTAAATTCAACTTACCAGCTTCAGTTTACTGCCTGGGCTTTTAAAGTTTGTGCTCAAAAACTTTAAAAATCTGTGTTTGATGTCAAGAAAACAGGTAAGTGCCTAGCATCAGATTAATTTTCAGTTTGTTTAGATAATATTTCAAACTCACCTCTCTCTCTTCCCATTCCCTTGAACTTCATATTTTCATACTCTTCTTAACCACCAAATCTTTGCAGATTGCCTTTCCCTTAGCCTGGTAAACTCCTTGTTATCTTTTAGGTCTTTGCTCTGACACTCCATCTCTGTGACACCTTCAACACAGCGATCTTGAACCTTTTTCATCTCATGGCACACCTAAATTAACTACTAAAATTCTGCGGCACACTAAAAAATATCTTTTAGCTGATCTGACCAAAAAAATAGGTATAATCTTGATTCATTGATACCAGATAGCTGTTGGGTTGGTTGGCATAATTTTTTAATTTGATAACCAAAGGGGAAAATGGTCAGTGCCTCTCACTAAATAGGTATTGCATGTTTAAAAAAAATCTGCAGCGCACAGTTTGAAAATTGCTGCTTTAACATACCAAAGTGACATAAGTCCTTTATTCCTTGTGTCTTGTTTTATACATAACTTGGATAAAGTCGTATTACTCTAATGTAATTGTCTGCATAGCTATTTTCATCATCTGTGTTCCTTTGAGGAAGTGTATGTAGGTATTTTGTTTTTTATTTTGGGGTATCCAACCATGTAATATGAAAAAGACATTTATTGAACAAGATACAAGACACATTGTACATAGAACAATGAGGCCTCAGTCCCCTTCAAAGTAGGCACCTTGGGACCTCACACAGTTCTCCCAATCGCCATCAGTTGCCCCATCGTATTTTCCTGAATCTCATTGGTGGTCTGAAATCTCTTCCCTTTCAAAGGTAATTTTAGTTTTGGGAAAAGACAGGAGTCACAGGGCGCCTAACCTGGGCTGTAGGGAGCTGAGTGATTCGATGTTTCGCCAAAAATGCTGCACAAGATGTGACGCGTGAACAGTCGCATTGTCATGATGAAGCTGCCCGTCACCAGCTGCCTATAGCTCCAACCCCCTGCATCACTTAAATAGTTTCCACAGAGGAATGATCAAGCTTAACGCAAAATTTGATGCAGATTCATTGCTCTACTTGATCAGTCATTTTCAATATGACAGCCACACGGTACACATGCTCACCCAATCGAGTCACTGACCCCGCTGTTGTCATTGTTCATGCACGTGCATTCCAGTCCACTTTCTTTGGCTACCAGGTTAAGTCAATGCCACACAAACCACTCTCTCCTTACAGTAACAATGGCTGGACTTTTTCCGGGCAGGCCTTGTATATTAGGCATTCAAATACTAGGTTTCAGAAAATCTAAACCGTCCTTTGGCTTAGATTGAAAGGGACTGTACATGGAATCCACTTTCCTGACAATCGTAAGTACTTTTTGCTATTGGGTGCTTTTTATAATTGGTGTTAAGTACCAAATGTCTATCCCAGGAAAATCCAAACTTGTTTATGTCAAAGAATAAACAAATAGGTATTTATATTGTGACATTTACAGGTTATTAATGCAACAAACTTTGTTACTCTGATTACTATAGAAAGTCTCAAACTCATTTTTCTGAGGGGAACGTGCTCAGTTCATTAGTGCATCATCCTGATATACCAAGGTTTTAGGTTTGATATCTTGTCAAGATACATATGAGGAGCAACCAATGAATGCATAAGTGGAGAAAAACTGATGTCTCTTTCTCTCTAAATAAAAATTATTTTTTAAAGATTTAAACAAAGATGTTCAAGGTTCTAAGCTTCTCAGAGCCTTTAACAATGCATTCTCACAGTCCTATGAGTACAAAAAACTTCTCAACTTTACATTTGATCAGAGGTACTGGGTTGGGGAGTCAGGGTAGAGGGTCGCATTCCTACTAATATCCCGAGGAATATAATAGTTGAAGAAATGCTTAACCAAAAATTCTGTTGCTAGAAAATGGCTTTTAAAGGAACTAGAGAAAAGCTTTGTTGAAATTTTTGACAAAGTCTATAAAAATTATCAGACTGTAAAAATCATCTTTTTTTAAAAAAAAGAATAGTATATCTTAACTACGTTAATTCTTCCAGGTTGTTTCAGTCTTAAGCTAAAAAACTTATTTATAGAGGAAAACAGCAATAATTGCACACTGAGAAAAAAGAGAAGTAAAATATTTATTTGAAGGGTCAGTCACTGGCACTATTATTTATTGTTTAATATGCAATTATAGCCAGACAGTTATGAGAAAATCATTCCTGACATCCGGGAACTAGCTTGACAGTGTTGTTAGGAGAGGCCTGACACAGCTAGCCCATGATTTTCTGTTGGACATAAAAATCTCAGAACACCAGTATCAGACAATGTTATCCTGTGATTGTGATAAAGTGAGGGGTGGGGCGGGGGGAGGGGGGGCGTTGGAGAACCAAGATTGGTTTATAATTTTATCTAAGAGACAAAAACAATGTTAATATGCTAAACCATTTATAAAATTGTTTGGTATCACCGATATTGGCCAGTCAGCCTTCTGAGGTAATCCAATTATTTGTGCTGAACAAACTAAAAGAAAGAGTGAGCACAAAATGAACTTATCAAGACCATATTATGCATGTAGTCTAGTAAGAGAAGGCCACTACCATTTAGTCCTACTTCACAGATTTGGTTTTTAATGAACTAATTAATTAGATTTCTCAGCAAAGGAAAGGGTGTTGTTTTGGCACATAGCTTTAAATAGAATAATTTGAGTTTTTAAAAGTACTCTTAGAGGGTTAAAACACACGGGTTCTATTTCTGAAACTGATTTGCCTCCTTAAAATTGTCAGGAACTAACTGAACAGTTCTTAAATATATTGTAATTATCAATTTTTTGTTAACCCAAACAAAATTTATTTAAAATAAAATGTGAAATGAGTCATGAGAGTTGGATTGTTACTGGTAACGTTGTTTTCCAAATGAATTGACTGAATGCATACACTTCCGATGAGATGTGTGTACACATTTCCACGATGAAAGTAGTGTCATGACAATAATTTCAGAGCTCAATAGCAGAAGTTATGTCTAGCTTTCTCTTCACATCTCTAGCAACCAGCAATGCCCAGCACATTATACGTGCTAAACACTATAGGTTGTTTTAAATCATTTTTCTTTCTCATAAAATTCCGTTTTTATAACACAATATATGCCCCAATCCATAATATTATGTCCTGAACTCCTCGTAGTTGAAAAAGTATTTGAATAGTATGCTTGAAATGGATTTACTGGGTCTAAATTCACCTGCATTCCTTTATTCTATTCCTAACCAGGCGGTGATTTCATTTTTCAGCGTTTACAAGTGTCCTCAAACGCAAGGACCTAAGGTCCCAGATATCTCCAGTATTTTGGGCAGCATTACAAACCCTCCAGCGACGATCCGCAGCCACTCCTCCGTGCGTCCGCCCTACCTGCCAGCCGTGGGAGTCGCTCTTTAAACGCTCGCGTGAGCGAGACGGCGTGCTCGGGCGGCCACTGCGCATGCACTCTGAAGGGGAGCCGCCGGAGGTGGAGACGCAGCGAGGCGCGGGCTCGGGTCAAGCTGGGGCTTGACTCCGGCCGGCTGGACGTGAGCGCTAGGGTAGCGCAGGCTGCAGCCCATACGTGACCGCTCTCCGTCGCGCCGGGCTAGCTGCTGCGACTCGTCCGAGTCAGGCTCCCGCAGTCTGCCACGGTCGGGCACCGAGGCGCGTAGGCGGGCGGTGGAACTCGCGGTCGGGAGGACAGCGGATTGGCTGCTTCCGCTTCTCCGTTCAGCTTCCGGCCCGCGTACAGCTACAAAGGGACCGCGACCTGGAGGCGGCACTCGGAGTGGACGCATTTTGAGCTGTCCACCAGTAACGGTTTCCAGAAATAGTTTGGGTTTATATTATTTTTTTGATCAGTAGACGATGTTGGCATTTATCTTCGCCTCCGCACAAGTGTTTTGCTGGCAACTTGAATGACTTTTCTTTTTTTAAGAAATGCTATGTATTTTCTCTCTCAGGTGCTTATATCCTTATTTTCCATGACAGATCTTGACGAAAATATATGCAAAAAATATATAAAGATGATAACTAATATAGTTATATTGAGTCTGGTCATTTGCATTTCTTTAGCTTTCTGGATTTTGTCTATGACTGCAAACACCTATTATGGTAAGTATGAATGTCGTAAGTCATTTTTTAATACACTAATCGGTGGATTTTAAAATTGTACTGTTGTGAAAATCAAATCTCATATCCTCTGAGTGGTTATAATTGTGTGCATTTAACTTCTACAGCTTGGATTTAATTTACCAGAAAATATAAACAGTTCCTTGAACGTTGTAAACCCTTTAATAAATGCTGTTTGTGAAAATATTAGTTATACCTATTTCAATGTTTTTGTTTTAAGTAATTATTACATCGATCTTGAATGAGAAATAACTAGTTTCGTAAAGCTATTGCAGTGACGTTTTTAAAAGGAATATTCATAACAATTTATCAGTTTCATTTGTCTCTAAAAGATGATCTAGTGTTTATATTTGGAGATTTAGAGAATTTGTTTGCTGTTCAATCACTTCAAGAGAACAGACTTCTTTTAAAGTCTGAAGCCACTTTGCATAAATAGAAGGTACTCCAGCCTCAAATCTTTAAGGTTGTGAAGCTGCTTTAGAGCATAAGTATGCTTTTACGTAAACTTCCTTGGTGCCCCTATAAAAACAAAACACTGTTAAGTTCAAGAGGAAACGAGGAAGTACGCTCATAAAGGATTGTCCTAAGTGATTGCCAGTTCAGACCTTAATAAAGGATTGTCCTAAGTGATTGCCAGTTCAGACCTTAATAAAGGATTGTCCTAAGTGATTGCCAGTTCAGACCTTAATAAAGGATTGTCCTAAGTGATTGCCAGTTCAGACCTTCCTTCTTTTTCAGAGAGGCACATGAATGATTAAACAGGTGTTCTTCCGAATACAGAAGTTTCAGAGCTGTCCATTCATCATGAGTCACAGTAGGGGATGAGGGTTTGAGGAGGAAGGGCAAAGGAAGAAAAGATTTTCCTTAATGCCAATATTAACTAAATAAAATAAAACAGGATTTAAAAATTGAAGGTCATCCTGGGTCCAGGCACCCTATGCATATAAGTGAAGCTGTCCCCGACCTCTGTATATTAAATACAAGGGAATGGTTTTCCAATTCAGAAATAGGATTTTTTTGTTCAACATTTGTCCCTCTTTGTCTTTCATTTTCTTATTTTTGATTGAAACACAGGCACAAGCAATAGTTCACATTTTCCTTTTTTGTAGATCCTCAGCCTTGGTGTTGAGTTGGTTAGGAATGGCGGGAACTTAAAATAGGAAAACAATTATCCACTTAAAAAGAGTCAGCCTCTATTCACCTGTAGTCAATTCTGCCACTTGGCCCAAGTTTCCAGGTTTTAAAACAAAAGCCAAGAATCTGAATTTGCATATTAAATCTACTAATCTATAAATGTTAACTCATTGTTTATACCTTGGGATTGTTTGTTTCTTCTGTCTTAAATTGTTTAAAAATGTTATGCTAACCAAACAAAACATCTGGATGAAATTTTTGGAAAAACCAGTTGCTAACCATTAAATCCTGAGGTGTGTAGCATGTGAGAATGTTACTTTAAAAAAAAAAATCTCTGAAAGGCAGAGAGAGGAATATTGGATCCTGTTAAGAAAGAAGTTTGTTCTATACTATTCTTGAGACTGAATGCATGCCTCCTCTCCAAAAAAAAAAAAAAAAATTCATTTCAAATCTGCAAATATGTATGAAATATCCATTATTATAAATAGTTGTAAATAGTTTCCAAAACTTGGACAGGACTTATTTGGTTACTGCCAGGATTGTCTCTCTGAAAACATACAAGTCTCAACATAAATATTTTACTTTGGTGACTTTATCTGAGTTTCCCTATTTATGACAGTATTTTAATTCAGAATGCAGTTGTCAATATTTATAGCCAAAACTAACCTATGCAGGACTCACCCAATTTATATTCTACCTTTATAATTTTTCAGGTAACTTACAGCCTATTTCTCCTTGGCGTTGGCTGTTTTCTGTTGTTGTTCCTGTTCTGATTATATCTCGTGGCCTTAAAAAGAAAAGTTTAGATCACAGTGGGGCTTTGGGAGGTATGTTTTGTTTTTGAGTCTTTAACCGTATAATATGCTTGCTTATAAAATTTAAACATGTTTTCTACATTCTGGTTACATGAGACTATAAATCAAAACATTATATATTTTAGACAATGATAAAGTTATGCATTGCTCAGCATTCCTATTCTGTCAAATTTTCAAATAGTAACATATCCTTTTAAGTGTAATGTACAAATTTAACTTTATAATTTGTATGAAGTAAATTAGTAGAATAGACTTTGGAGGACCTTGATTACTCTGCTCCTTTAGTTGGATAAAGTTATCTGCTAGCAGAAACATTGAAGCACTCTTCCTAGATAAAAGAGCCATTGGAAAAAATAGCTAACAGATGTGTCGATATTTTTATATGAATTTTGTCTTAACCGTATAATCCATAAGTATTAGGAATTGTTATGTTTTATTTATTTTGTAAATGTTATATATACTATGTATCAGGCACTGCTGTTATCGCTTTGGAAGTGTTAACCTATTTATAGCAAATAATTTAAACAATCTTTGCTTAAATATAATAATGGAGATATGCTTTGCTAAAAATATCCTTTCTCAGGTTGCAGCTGCCTTGCGTTGGTTTTTATTATTCTTCATCTATAGCAAGTCCTTCTTGAAATTTCATCTTCTTTGGCTTCCCTATTGTATATACCCTGCTTCTTCTCCTATTTTTCTGATCTCTACTTTTGGTTTCTGCTACCATTTTCTTTTCTGCCTTCTAGCCCTTGGGCCTCTATTTGTTGCCTACCTAGCACAATTTAGAATTAGGAGATAAATATCTGAATCCTAGTACGGCCACCTACATCTGTGAACTTTTGCCACATTGCCTAAATCCTCAGTGCCTCACTTTTCTTTATCTTTTGTGAAGTAGGTCCTATGGGCTTATTGGTAAGGCCCAAACAGGATAATGTGTGGGAAAATACATCATTTAAAATTATAAAGCATTATATAAACATTCACTGTTAGTGACTTGTTATTTACTTTCAACCATATCATAAAGTTTCTGGAGGCAGAGTATATCTTATGCTTCTGGGTCCCATGCTTCTTTGAATAGTGTTACACACATAGTAGGTGCTTCAGAAACATATATAGATGACTTTAAAACCTCTGTTCTTTACTGATTATTTCAGTCTATGAAATGTTGGTATCTTTTCTGTTTGTAGCTCTTTTTTCCCTTAAGGACAAAAAAACTGTAATGCTGATTTAAAGTATATCGTAGTACTTGGGAATACTGTTATGGAGTATGACTGTAAGTCACTTAAACTTTCAGTGTTGTGCTTTTCCCATCTGTAAAATAAAAAGGGATAATAGTGCTTTTGGCATTGACTTAAATCATGAAGAGTTATCCATATAAAATGTTAGGCATAGCACCTGGCATACATAATAAGTATTTTATAACTGTAAGTTAATGTTTTTTCCCACTGCTACTATTCATAATCATAGGAACTTTTACCAAGGTTTATGATATTGTGCCTTTAGTGTACTTAGGATTTAGAAGAGTTTCAGAACTTTGCAGGATCTAGGCATTTAGAGTCCTCATTGGCATAGAAACACATAGCTCAGTGTTGATGGAAGAGGGTTGAGACAATGCTTAAGGTGGACACTGAAGTGGAGGGCTCTGGCCTCCTTGGAAGACTATTCCCAAAATAAGTAGCAAATCATATGAAAGGATATGTGGGAAAGAGCTTGTAAGCTAATGTATAAAACACTATGGAGGCAATTTGCTCCAAAGAAATATCGCCTAATCTAGTTAGTTATTGTGTTTCTGTGGACATGTCGGTGTGAACAGGTTGTCATTGGACTTTTGATTTGACAAGTTTAAATTTAATTTCACTTACCAAGACTATTGGGCTTAGTGATTTATCATTTTTTCATCTAGTCATTCAACAAATATTTAGAGAGGGTCCCCTGTATGCCAGGCACTGTTCTGGGCACTTAACAATTTAGTAGTGAACAAAATGGATAAATATTCCACTGTCAGAGAGGTTACATTTGTAGTCAGGGGAGACAGATGATAAGTAAGATGGGTTTGAGGCATTTAATCCCCAGAAGTAGACGCTGTAAGTGCACGACAAATGGGGTGTTGACAGGAAAGGCCAGTGGTTGTACTCCCTGTAGGCTCACAAGTATGGCCTTCACCTGTTTTTAGTCACCATCATTCAGATCTGGTGTTGAGTTTTTCTGAAATGGAAACCTCATTCTGTCAGGTACCCACAGTTGATCAAAAAACTGATTGTGCTGCTCATTTTCACAAGGGACTGATATACGAGCCAGAATGCTACTTTATTAATCTGATAAAATATGGAACTCCCAGGCCAACTGGAAGGTAAACATTTCTGTTCAGGCATGCCCTATTCCTGTAGTCAGGCTATTTAACAATTCACATTATAATTAAAAGGTTGCTTTGGTAACTACAAAGTCTGAGAAAGAGTAATGCAAGTCGCAGTTCAAAGGATCTTGTTCGTTGTACAGTGTTTGACAAGTCTGGAAACCTCTGATTCTTTAGGTGTTCATGTTGTTAAACAGAAAGCCTTTGCAGCCAAAAGGTTTTATGAAAGAAAAGGGTTATGGAGCCATATGCTAGCTAGAAGAAAGATCATATCCTGAGACATACAGTCTGTACCACCAGCAGCAGAGCCAGATGGAAAAACAAAAAAATGTCTTTATCATATGAAATAGGGCTATATGGGCTTATTGGTGAGGGGAGCTCAAGAGATTCTTTTTTAAAGATGTAAGATGTTCTGAAAGAATTTACACTGGCTGTAGATAAGTGGGGAGGGATGCAGCAGGGGCAATTTTAGAATGGGTGCAAAGTCCATAAGGAAGAAACATTTACAACTTTTGATTGGTTGTGTGCAACAGTCAAGAAGGTTCATGTATAAGCAGGATGCAGTGGCGTATGGAGTTTGACCACTTCTTTTTAGATGGCTTCCTGGAAGTTCATTCAAAGCTCTAACATATGTTCAGGGATATGAGCAGACTTTTGTTAGCTGGACCACAGCTATTAATTAACTGGATAATTACCCTTGTTTTTTCTCCTACTTTCTGCCCCGCTGTAATTTAATTTAGACATTGCAGATTTTTTCAGTTGTTCTTATTTTGGGTTAACCAGCCTTCTTTTGATTTCCATAATCTTCCTCTAGGCAAATTACATGTGATAGAGTTGATTAGATTTGAATTTATTAAATTATAAAGTATCGATCCCCAAAGATTATACCCAAGTCACCTTGGTTGGAATTTTGGGTATAACTCACTCCCATCTTCAGAGACTTTTGTAGACAGTTCTTTTACTTAACTAGATGGCATCTATAATGTACACCATTTACCTATTTCAAACTCAGAAGTCAGCCGTAATCCTTGAGTCTTTTAGTGCTTTGGGAGCACCTTATTCTTATGCATATTAACTTATCAATGACAATTAGAAATTGGAGAGATGGATTGGGGAGGTGCCATAGATACAAATTAGAGATAACAAGTTTTACTAATTTAAAAATTCACACAAAGCTGGGAGTTTCCAAAATTCCAAGATACTTTTAAACTGCATGAAAAAAATTATTCCTTCAAAGCCTTCAGTTCATTTCCTCATCCTGAACCTGTCATCAACATGAACATTGATCACTTCATGTAATTTTAAAGTGGTTTAAGTAAAAAAAAAAAAGTAGATGACTTTTATAGTATCTCATGGTAGGTTGTCTTGGGGTGACCTTCTTTGGTTTTATTTTAAGACAATGGAACAAATTGTTAACAGTGACTAACCATGGAGAAGAGATAGATGAGAGGTGATGAAGGAGAGGGAGAGATTCTTAGACTCTTACTTTTTATGCTTATGTATGTTTTGGCTTTCCCTCCCATAGTCATATACTACTTTTGTAAGAGCCTTCTGTGTGCTAGATAATATAATATGCACCTTATGAAGTTTATCTCATTTAACTTCTTGCAGCAAGCCAGTGAGGTAGGAATTATTATTATTCTTACTTACTAATGAAAAATCCAACCTTAAGGCTAGGTAACTTCTCCCAGTCATCTAAAAGTAAGTAAAGGAGCTGAGAGTTGTATTCTATTCTACTTCAAAACTGAAGCACTTTATTAGTATATACTTCATACAGAATTACTCTGTTTTTTTTTTTTTGCACTCTCATTTAAAATGTAATAAATGTAAGTGAAATGCCAATAGTTGAGTATCTCTGGATCAATCAGTCAACCAGTGTCTCAATAGTTGTGGTACTTGTACCTTGTACTAACCAACAAAAAGTTACTACAAAAATAGGACCCTGATCCCTATTCTATTTAATATTTACTATTTATATATTTAATATTAAATTATATTTTAAGTTTTGTTCTAGTAGTGGTGAAGCAATTCTAAAAAAGTTTAGATGTAATAAAGGATTGACCAAATGAGTGAAATTGTCGTTGTTTGAAGCCAGGATTCTCACTAAGGAGAAAAACATATACAGATACAGAATGGAGAAAAGCAAGACAAATCCTGTGGAGATGGATTAGAAATGTAGTTATTGGTGTAATCTTGTGATTTCTAAAATATTTATGTGTATGTGTGTGTGCATATACATGTGCATGCGGGTATATTTGTGTGTATATGTGTGTATATTTACTGTCCCTGTCCACAAAAAGCAAATATACCCCAACAGAAATGAGCACATTGTGAGCCTGGATCTTGACCTCTAATATCCATTCTCCACTAAAATGAACCAGAGCTCCTCAGAGAAATAGCTGCTTCCAGGGTGGGACAAAGTAGATTTAGTATGAGCCTATAATATCTTGTTATGCCAGAAAGAAAGAAAATGCTTAAAAAAAAATATGTGGTGGGGTCTTGTCACATGGACACAGTAGCAAGTTTCTCTGATTTTTGTCTCTCGGTACAACCACCCCTGCTTTATTTTAGTTACTATTTGCATAGAGTATTATTTTCAGTCCTTTTATTTTCAACCTATTTGTGTCATTGGATTCAAAATGAGTCTTGTCTGGCTGGTGTGGCTCAGTTTGCTTGGACTTTGTCCCGCAAACCAAAAGGTTGCTAGTTCTTTCCCCATCAGGGCATGTTCCTGGGTTGTGGGTTCTTTCCCCAGTCAAGGTGAGTACAGAGTGTGAAAGGCAACCGATAAATGTTTCTCACTCGTGTTGATGTTTCCCTCCCTCTCTTCTTCCTCCCTTCCCCTCTCTCTAAAATCAAAAATAAAAATAAGATTCAAAAAGAGTCTCTTGTAGACAGCATATAGTCTATATGACTTATAGGGTTTTTGGGGGTTTTTTTTGGTCTGTCTTTCTTCTTTCTGGTTACCATGAGAATTACATTTAACATCCTAAAGTTATAACATTGTACTTTGAATTTTTGTCAGCATGACATCAATAACGTTTTAAGACTCTGTCTTAATTTCTTCCTTCTTCCCCATGTGTCAAAAATAGTTTGGCTAGATATAGGATTCTTGGTTGACATTTTTTTTTCTTTTAGCACTTTAACTATATCAGCCTAGTACCTTCCAGCCTCCAAAGTTTCTGATAAGAAATCTGCTGATAATCTCATTGAGGATCCCTTTTTTTGTGACCGGTTGATTACCTCTTACTGTTTTCAAGATTCTCTTTGTCCTTTCAAAGGTCTTTGAAAAGTTGGATTATAATGTGTCATGTTGTGGGTCTCTTTGAATTCATCTACTTGGAGTTTGTTGAGCTTCTTGCATGTTTATATTCATGTCTTTCATCAAACAGGGAAAGCTTTTGACCAATACTTCTTCAAATAATTTCTCTGTCCCCTTCTCCTTCTTTCTTCTCCTGGGATTCCCACATGTATATGTTGGTCTACATAATGGTGTCCTATAGGTCCCTCATGCTCTCTTCACTTTTCTTCAGTCTTTTTTGTTTTTTTCATATTTAAAAATTTCCATTGTTCTGTATTAAAGTTCACTGATTATTTCTTCTGCCTGGTCAAATGTGCCCTTGAATCTCTAGTGAATTTTTAATTTTTATTATTGCACTTTTCAGCTTCAGTATTTCCTTTGGATTTCTCTTTAGGTTTTCTATCTCTTCATTTATATTTCAATATTGTTTATACATTATTTTCCTGACTTTCACCACATCTTCCTTATTCTTTTGAGCATCTTTAAAAGTCAGTTGTTTTAAAGTCTGTTTAGTAAGCCCACCACCTGGCCTTTCTCAGTGACAGTCTTCATATTTTTTTTCCCTTTTGTATGGGCCATACTTCCCTGTTTCTTTGTATGCTGTGCAATATGGTGTGTATGGTGGCTCAACATGAAAGCCTGTGAAAATTCTTGAAAAAGCATAAAAAGCTTATATTTTGAAAAATAAATACCAGGCTGTGGGGGGAAATGTAAAAAAAATAGAAACCTAAAAGACTTTATAGTCTTACCTCCTCTGAGAGATTTACAGTTAATTTGAAAATTCTTCAGACTAGCTACCTAAATGGTACATATCTATAATATATATTATTTAATAATAATAAAATCATGTTGTGTTCTGCAACTCCAGTATAAAAAATATTTCTAAAATATCTTACATTTATATAGCATAGTTTGTTTGAAAGGAGATCAAAATATGGTAAGAAATACATCTCAATTTAATCAAACTGACATTCAGTTTACTATTTGGTAATATATTCATTGGTAAAAATGAAAATGTATTGGAAATGTAATTTCAGATTATAATATGAAAATAACTGAAAAAATCCATTTTTTTACAGTATTAATGTATGGACTAAGTATAATTCTGTGTGTATATGTGTTTCTTTCAGGGCTGGTAGTTGGATTTATCCTAACCATTGCAAATTTCAGCTTTTTTACCTCTTTGATGATGTTTTTCCTTTCTTCTTCAAAACTCACTAAATGGAAAGGAGAAACAAAGAAACATCTAGATTCAGAATATAAAGAAGGTAAATAAATAATGTTTGACATTATTTTTAAAAGTAACTTTCATCCTAACATATAAGGTTTTAATCAAAACACACTTAGACTATGGAAACAGATAAATTTTATATGAGAATTACTTTAAGTAGTAGCCTAATTTAGTTTATCATTCCTTCACCACAATAACAAGTAACAGCAAAATTTTAGAAACACTAAAGTCTTTTCATTAATTATTCTAAAACAATATAGAACGTGGGCAAAGGTACCATCCCACTTTTAGTAATTTTAAAAATTTCAGTCATTTTTCTTTTCTTAAACATTAAAATATCTAAGTTCCTATACACCATAATTTTCCTTCTGATGAGATGAAAACATTTCTTGTCCTCTTTTTCTACTTCTTTCCTTCTAGGTGGGCAGAGGAATTGGGTTCAGGTATTCTGTAATGGAGCTGTACCCACAGAGCTGGCCCTACTGTACATGATAGAAAATGGCCCTGGGGAGATCCCAATAGATTTTTCCAAGCAGTACACTGCTTCTTGGATGTGTTTGTCTCTCTTGGCTGCACTGGCTTGCTGTGCTGGAGACACATGGGCTTCAGAAGTTGGCACTGTTCTCAGTAAAAGCTCACCTAGGCTAATCACAACATGGGAGAAAGTTCCAGTAGGTGAGTCTTTATTTAAGTTTTTTTTAAAAAAAAAGTGAAAAAAAATACCTTGATTTATTGTGTTTCTTATTTAAAAGCCTTTTAAATAACTGTTAGTCACCTTAATTGGAAAATTGCTATAGTCTATTAAATTGGTGATAATAAGTAAAATTTGCAGGAAATGTTAGCGAACCCTAGATAAACAATACAGAAACAGAGATTGAGTCACAGACATATCACTAGGAAAGAAAAAGGAAGGGAACAATAAGGTATTCCTGAGGGTCTATTATGTGGTTACTGCTTAAATATGTATCTTTCCTCATTACCATTGTCAGCCCCAACTTCTCTTTTGTCGTTGTCATTACCTCCTCCTCCCCTTTCTCTTCCCTACTTTTCTTTTCCTCCTGTTACCTCCTGTTTTTCCCTCTTCCTTCTTTTTTTTCTTCTTCATCATCATCATAATCATGAACAGCGAACATATTTTAGTATGTGCTATGTGAAGGCACTGCTCTACATGGATTATCAGTAAGTACTTTTAATAACTGTATGAATTGGTTCTTTTATTTCTATCTTAAAAACAAGGAAACTAAGGCATAGAGAAGTTAGGTAACTTTACTACAGTCACAAAGCTTGAAAATGGTAAAACCAAGATTGACTCCACTGAACCATTATACTTCACTGCTTAGAATGTCTGAAGTTGAGGAGAAAAGACAGTTTTCTAAGTAGTCTATGTTCTTTTGATATTTGGATTAAATGAAAGAGAACTATTTTTAAAAATTAGCCTTGATGGGATAGGCACCAAAATTTTTTGTTTTCCTTGCCATTATGTATTAGCTGATTGTTAACCAGATGATTTTATTCATGTTTCTTCAGGGACCAATGGAGGAATTACAATTGTGGGCCTTGCTTCCAGTGTCCTTGGTGGAACCGCTGTGGGCTTTGCCTACTTCCTCACGCAGTTGGTTTTTGTTAATGATTTGGACATTTCTGCTCCCCAGTGGCCAATTATTGTATTTGGGGGTATAGCCGGATTACTAGGATCAATTGTGGACTCGTATTTAGGAGCTACAATGCAATATTCAGGTAAGAACTTCACGTTATTATTGCAACTAATTAGTTTATTAAAGAAGAAGAAAAGAAAAGAAGATATAACAATGAAAACAATCCCCAGAACACCACAAGTGAAAGACCAGGAATGATTGGGCAAAGTCTCTTGCACAGTTTTGACTTTCTTATTCTTTCCTGTTAGGCTAATTGAAAGAGAATTAGTCCTGCGGAGCAATAAGTAGAAGCTGTGTGGGGAGGATGGATAGTGCAGGAAACATGTGGTTTTGTTAATGGGACTTCACCTAATCCCAGGAAAGCAGAATATTTGAGATAAATCATTTTAATAAACCTTCCTTCCAATTGTTTTCCAAGGCCATTTGAGAGATAATCATTTTCCTAACCTGACTGTACATATATGACCTTCTTTTCTACTGTGACATCGTGCTTGCTTCCCTCCCTACTGAGTTTTTAGCCCCACTTAAGATATATTAGACAGTCAGTTTTCCCGAAAGTTCTCTGTGCTTTGCTTCTGAAGTTTTCATGTCATGTTAGTGCAGTGACATATTCTGTTAAGTGTATATTTGCTCCAAACTCTATCAACTATGTTTTCCCCTTTGATTCATTTGATGAAGAGGCTGGGAGTCTGGAGAGCTTTCCTGAGTACAGTCCTCTCAATTCTGTTCATGCCACAAGATAATCTACTTGCCATTCTGCTCTCTTACCCACCAGTCAAAATGTTACCTCAGTTTTGTTAATCTCATCTTGATGCAAAGGAGGAATCAATTAGATTTTAATTCACACTAAAGGCTCAATACTCTACACACACATGAACGTGTTCTTTTAATGAGCTTAAGTTTTATTCTAAACTGAGCTCTAACTGGAAAAGTTTCTGATCATATAGAGTGGGTTGAAAATCAGTTGTGGGCTGTGGACCGGTTAATTCATTCAATAATATTGATGTGCCTCTTTTATGCTGGCACCTTGCTGGGTCCTGGGTATCCATGGCAGAGGCTGCTGACGTGATCTCTACTTTCAGGGGCCTCACAGGTTGGTCTTGGAAGGGAACTAGTGGGTAGGCTGGGCCAGTGTGCCAGTTTCATGTCATCTCCGCTTTTCATTTTCTCTCTTCTAATTCTGAATGAACGCTAGCAGTGTTGAAAGAACAGTATTGAGGGGTACTAAAACCTGTTTATTCAAAGAGGCCTTTTGTAATCAAGGTTTCCGTATCTCTCACCATATAGATTATCCACTAATGTCATTTTATAAATGGCTGAGAATCTTTCAAAGATTATTTCCTTTGAGGAGGAAAACTACTTTTTATTTTTGTCAAGTCATTTGGATTTTGGACCTCACTTGGCTTTTCCACTCTAGGTTGGGATGAAAGCACTGGCATGGTGGTCAACAGCCCAGCAAGTGAAGCGAAGCACATAGCAGGGAGGCCGATTCTTGATAACAATGGGGTGAATCTGTTTTCTTCTGTCCTTGTGGCCCTCCTGCTCCCAACAGCTGCTTGTGGTTTTTGGCCCAGGGAATGAATTTTATCTCATTTACAAAGGTTAAAATTGTGATAAATTCAGCTCCATTTTCAGGTTTCTTCCTAAGAAGAATAATTGTAATGGCAAAGAGAAAATGGCAGCTCTTCCCATATTCCATTGTGACGGATTTCTACATTTGTTCTCGCTTACTCCCTTGTAACCGCCAACATGTTCTAGTGAAATACAGGACTACATAGAACTTACCCATTCTTTTCTTCTGCTGAATGGAATTTCTTGAGCAATAAAGCTATTCAATACATTGCCCCTGTATATTGGTGTATATTGAACTAAAAGCTAATATGTTGAACCGGATCCTATATGTAAACATAAATTTTGTTTTGTTTGTTTAAACTAATGTGGGAACTAAAAGTCATAAATAAAAATGGTTCTCAGCTGTGCTAGAGAAATGGCACTGTGTCAGTTATCCAAATGTTATATCGGGTTTAAGTAGTTTAAACTGATGTGTGTGGAAGCCTGAACAAGTGTAGTATCCTGAACTTCTTCCATTACTTGCCATTTACAATTGTGAAAGGTGCGGAATTTGAATCCTACTGAGCTGCGAGGACTTCTCCATATTTGTTCTTCCTTCCTTAGGGTTATAATAAAAAAAAGTAAATGTTTTTCTCATACGATTATTAGAATGCATGAAAAAAATTACTTTAAAGTAAAAGCAAGAGAGATCTATCTTGTATCTTAAAATGTGCACCTTATTATATATTTTATCTGATATATTTTATCTGCTCTCAAATTGAATATTTTCTAATGTATTCTCTAGCAGCCGTTCAAATGTGTGTAGAAATATGCTTTACATTGGCATTCCAAACAATTGAAGAGTCACTGGAAAATTATTCTAATAATTTTTTATTTGCTAATCTAGAATTTACTGAAAGATACTATGATTTTCTATGCTATGCCTTTTAAGTTGTGCTCACCTTTACATTACAGCCTCAATTAAAGTGAATTATACTTTTCAGTTGTGTTCTTTACTATGATTAACGATGTTCTAAAGGAGTTTTGCAACTGAACAACCATTGGGGTCCTACTGCTCACAGCCCATAGACAAAAACTCTGGAGACAGAGTCCAGTGGTAACCCTTCTGATCAGGCTTGGAGCACTTGAGGAAGGGCATGGGGCCTGTCCCCTGGTTGTGCTGGGGCCCTGCTCAGCAGGCAGGTAACAACCACCACTGCTTCCCATCAGGGGAAATGGACCCAGGGCTTCCAGTCAGCCACACTCCCTGAGCTTGCCAGCCGAAGCCTCCCCTCTGCCCTCTTCCCAGAACCTGCTGTGCTCCTATCCAGGCAAGTCCTGGAGCACTTGGGAATGGGCATGGGGAATCCTGGCATGGCCCACCGGCTCAGGAACTTCAGCCCCCTGGCCCCATACCCACCAGCCAGAGGATGGGGGAGCAAAAGCACACATTTTCCATGTGTTCCACTTTTTAAAACTGCCCCCATAATCCCCCTGTGCCCCAGTAGTAGATGGGAGGGTATGTCCTTCCCATCCAATTATCCGCCCTGACCCCCCAGCTTTTGGCGCCAGTCTCTATCCACCTCTTTTTCCTGCAGCAGGCGTGGGTCATCCCCGTTGCCAGGGCAATGCGTGCATGCGCTGTCTTCAGCGCATCTCCACCCCTCATTTCCAGGGGTGGTCCCCCATTACAGTTTGTTATGGTGTGGATATTTCGCAAAAAGTACTTGAAAACATTTCTCATGTCATTTCCATTCCTTTCATTTCCTGAGGAGAAAAAGCTGTTTTCCAAATAGGCTATCACAATGAGGGATAACTATCCTTAGCCACCAAATCCCAGATGAATTTTACATGCTTCAAAGATGTAAACACAATTATGCAGCTTAATTATTTAATCTTCTAATGGAGTATTTGTTACTTTAACTCCAATTGGTCCTGAAAAATTTTTAAATATATAGGTCTTCAATGTATGATTGTTAAATTAAGTTGTCTGACTCTAAGCATGTTTCTTTAAGAGTCACTGAAAGTGATAATCAGGAACATATTTTTGGAGGAAAAGTAAACATTAAAAACTAGTTAGACTACCTGAATTTCTGATGCCTGTCATGATTCCAACATTTCGTAATTGTGTGATACAATATCAATGATTTTGGAACCAATGAGTTATGAAATAATTGTAAAAATGAGGGTAAGGCCATGTTGGCAGGGCAAGGCTCTTGAAATTATTGTCCCTGTTAAGACTAGACATGTTAATTCTCTTTCATTTATCATAACTGCCCATTTCAAAATTTATTTTATACAGGTGATAACTTTTTTTATGTCTGGATTTTTTAAATTAATGTTTAATTACTTAAGCAATACACCAAATATTTTTTTTAAAAATCAAAACACTGAAGATAATTAAAATATCTTTTGCCTCACTACCCTCTCAACAAACCTAAGACCCCTCCCACTTTTCCCAAAATAACTACTGCTAGAAATCTGAATCTTTTCTACAAAGGAATTATTGTGGGTATATTTTGACACATATTCTTTTTAACCAGTGAAATTTTGTTTAATTAATACTATCATTTTACTGCTTCAAATTGGATGCTTATATCCAAGGAAAATCTTTTAAAAAAAGATTAGATACAACATTTCATAATTGTGTGATGCAATATCAATGTGTTATCTGGTAAGATTACACATGATTTCTTTTAAAGATTCTAATTATTTATAGAACTAGGGGAAAAGATGCAGAAAGGAGGAGAAACATTGATTGGCCATCACTCACACACCCCCAACTGGGACCTGGCCCACAACCCAGGAATGTGCCCTAACTAGGATATGCACCAGTGACCCCTCAGTTTGCAAGACAACACCCAACCCACAAAGCCATACCAGTGAGGCCATGATTTCTATTTTTGTTGAAATAATTTTAGGTTATAGTATATGGATTGTATCTCAATAAAGTTGCTATGAAAGTAAATATACAAAAATACAAAATAACTTTAAGCACTTTCCTAGGAAGTCTACAATCAAATGTGTTTCTTCTATAAATTAAAAAATGCTTAAAGCAAACAGAATGATCTCTGAAAATTATCCCTCTTCCCCATCTATCTCTTCTTATCATTATTTTAAACATACTCCTTCTGCTTATAAACTACCTTATTAGCAACGAAGTAAGAATGAAATGGTATTTTAATATAACATAATGAAAACTAACTGATACCCAAAAGAATCTTTTGATATCTTTGCTTTTGGACTGTTGCAAAAACAACTAATAGAAGTATCACATATTTTCATACCTGTATAGTATATTTTGTTTCAGACTGAATTTATTTGCAAATTTTTGAAATTCTTGCTTAGCTACTTGCACTTGGAATTATACATGGCAAACACCTTATTTCAAGACAAAATTTTCAACACATCGTCATAGAATTCTCAAAGAACTTTAAGGAATCTTCTCAGTCCATTGTTTAGACTTGAAGCTAAAAAATACATATACCATCTCATATGAGTGAGTATGGGAAAGCCAGACAAAATATTTCCTAACGCTCTTTAATACCTCCCTACCTTTGCATACACTGTTCTTTCTGCCTGGAATTCCTTCCCTTTCTCCTCCCTTATTGATCCTTCAAAAACCAGCGCAGTGGCACTTCTTCTGAGAGGTTTCTCAGGCTGAATTAGCTACCCCCATACACATTCTACCCTTTAACTCGTGATGAACATTTATTGAATAAATGCCATCAACATTATTAACCTTTTTCTTCAAACTACTGATCTCCATATTGCTAAGAACTAGCAAGTTTAGAAAAGGCTCTGAACATTTCTTTGGAAATGAGTATCGTTTTCAAATTCATTCATGGGATCAGAATAGGGATTCATGATTTCCTCTTGATCTCATCAAGCTACAAGTTTTTAAATAGTGATAGCATGTAGGATTAGTAGAGAATAAACTCATTAGAAACTCATGTTGTGAATGCAGATCCCCACATTCCTGTTGTGATCATGTATGTAATGTTACATGCAATTACTCCAATAAAATTTGATCCTAAAGTTGGCCGTTATAATAGACCAATAAGATGTTGAACAGGACTAATTTCTCAATTTTTTTCCCATAAAGTGATGCATTAAATTGTGTCCAAACACCATTCACAAGTACGCTTCCTCAACGATTATCAAGGAATTTCTCTCAGTTATACACCCTGTATCATAGCATATATAGCAATAGATTTTGAAATAACCTTTTTTCCCTTGATTTTGAAAGTAAAATATTCATCACATAAAATTATAAAACAAGAAAAAGATGTAGAAGAGTAAAAAGATTCATAATCTTACTACTCAGAGACAAGCAGAGTAAATATTTTTGTTACCAAGCAGTGGGGTCTTACACTTGTCATCAACAGGCAAAAATTCGGGAAGTGGAGTTTGGTCGAAAGGAAAGTAATATTTTATTCAAAGTTTACACAGTTTGAAATGGCAGGTTTCTGCCTCAAAGCCTGTTTATGACAGCCAAAGAAAATCACCCTGCCACCCTTTGCTAGCTCAGTCCAAGGATGCTCCAGGAACATCTTCTCCCACCCAAAAGTATCTTCCTTTAAGAAATGTAAGCGGCAACTCTGGTTTCCAGTCGCTGTCTCTTTAGGCATCTTTCAGAGCCTGTGCTCCAGGCGTCCAGCTCCTGGTGTGCTGCCCTCCAGTGTGTCTCAGGCAGCACAGTTCCAGTTGCTGCTGTGTCTTTCTGTAGGGGGGGCGGGGGGGGCGGTGAGGGCTTCCTTCCTGACCACGTGGCGCCCATTGTCCCCCAGTTTCAGCATCTGCCCCTTTAACACCTCTTTTCCTGCTGGACCTCCAGGACCAGCAATAACCATCCCCTAAGCCTGCCTGGTGTGGAGCAGGCAAAGCAGCCCTGGCACAATGGCAGGCCGGTGCTGGGGGCGTGGGTGGCCGATGGGCAGCTGTTGCAGCTTCCTCTGGAGGCAAGGGGCCCCCAGGACATTCTTGGACCACTGTTTCATAGCTACCTATTGATAACGGCCATAGTCCTGGCAGGGCTTCACTCCATGGAGCAATTTGTTTTGGTAGGGCTTGACTTGGAGTAATTTCTGGGAATATTTTATTCTACCTGTTTCAGAGTTAACGAGTCAAAGGCCATTGACAAGCATAGCCTGAGTGTTTGAAAAGATTTTTAACAGTTTCTAGAACCACAGCCAACGTATGAGAGCGTTAGTGTCACCACAACCCCGCCAGCACTGAAAGTCATTGGTTTTTTAATCTTTTCCACTTAGGTTTTTTTAACAAAGATTTTATTTATTTAATTTTAGAGAGGGGGAGAAATATCAATGCTGGCTTCATTTTGTGTGCCCCCTCCTGGGCACCTGGCCTGCAACCCAGGCATGTGCCCCACACTTGGAATTGAACCAGTGACCCTTTGGTCACAGGTCGGCGCTTAATC